CTCTGGATACTGTTATGTTCTTATCATCAGTTTACTGCTATCCCAGCTTGCCTCTGAATGATGCTATCTCTTTTTTGGAGGAAACCTACAAAACAATTGATAAAAATAGGCTGCTGATTGGTGTTGACTCCAATGCCCGTAATCCACTATGGCATGACATCATAGAAAATAGCAGGGGTACCCTTTTTGAAGAATTCCTAGATAGACATGTCTTTACTGTGATAAATGAGCCAAGTGAACCTACTTATGACTCCATTCTGGGCAAAAGCTGGATTGATTTAACTATCACTGGCTCCTCTCTGGCTAAAAACATCACTTGCTGGTCTCTGATTGACCAGGAAATGCTATCTGATCACAGAGCCATCTCCTTTTGCATTGAACAGCAGCACAGGCTTTGCCTCACAAAAAGTAACTCCTTCAATTTGAGAAAGGCAAACTGGCAAATGTTTCAGGATCTAATCCAAGTAGAACTGGATAATTTTAGTACACAAACCTTTCTTAACACTGAAGAGGAAATTGACAAATGGGTGTCAAAGCTAAATGATATTCTGAAAAGTGCAGCAGAAAAAGCCATTCCCAGAAAAGTCCCCCTAAAGAAGGCTGTGCCGTGGTGGACCCCAACATTAACATCCCTGAGAAAACAGGTCAATTCTCTTAGGCGCAAATTTCAAAGACAGAAAAATCCCCTATTGAGAGTCAATCAAGAAATTGAATACAGGTCAGCAAAAAAGAAATATATCAGAGAAATGAAGTCAGAAAAGCTGAAATCTTGGCAAAACTATTGCAATACAAGGGGAAATATTGATCCATGGAAAAACATTTACAGGATTCTAAACAGGAGCAACACGGATCATACACTTCAGGCACACATAGATAACTCCCAACATAGCTATGATATCAATTCTGCTTTATCAGCCCTGGCTGCACAACTCTTCCCTGGAGACAATAACACGGATGACTCCTCTGAACATAAATCCATCAGAACAAATTGGCTAAGTGTGCATTCAGCCCCAACTGAAATAGATCACTACTTTTCCACCTTTGAACTCAAGAAAGCACTTTTCTCCATGGGACCTCATAAGGCTCCAGGAGGTGATGAGATCTATGCCAAAATGCTTCAGGTGTGTTTCAACATTTTAGAACCTTTTCTTCTCAGTCTGTACAACTCCTGCCTAAGTCTTTCTTACTTTCCTGCTCACTGGAAAATTGCCAATGTCATCCTTATCAAAAAACCAAGAACTGAAAATACCGACCCCTCCAAGTTGTATAGACCAATTAGCCTTCTTCCAGTAATGGGCAAGGTTTTTGAAAAAATGATTTTGGGCCGTCTTGAGTGGCATGCTAATAAGCATCACTGGCTCGACCCAAACCAGTATGGCTTCAGAAAAAGCAGAAGTGCTGAGGATGCTGTCTATGCCTTGACACAATTCATAGAAGAGGGACTGAGTAACAAAGTTTATACCGCAGCTATCTTTTTGGACATTAAAGGTGCCTTCGACAACTGCTGGCACCCAAGCATTATCAACGAGCTCTCCCAACTAGACTGTCCCAACTATCTTGTCAAGCTGGTCTCCTTTTTTTTAACTAACAGGAAAATAAATCTGTCTTATCATCATCACTCTGTTAGTAAACTCCTAACAAAATCTTGCCCTCAAGGTGGTGTTTTATCTCCTTTCTTATGGAACCTAGTGGTTAACTCCTTTCTGAAAACCAAATGTGACAAAGCAATAAGTGTGCAAGCCTATGCCGACGACCTTGTCATTGTGTGTCAGCATAGGGACACTGCTTTTTTGGAAAGTAAGCTAAACGAAATGTTGAGTAAAGCTTCCAAATGGGCCTATCTTAATAAACTCCAGTTCTGTACTTACAAGACCAAAGCTATGCTTTTCACAAACAAATACAAATTTTCATACCCCAAGCTTTTATTAGATGGTGACTCAATCGAATGGGTAGACCGGCAAAAGTACCTGGGAGTAATCCTTGATACTAAACTTACATATAGTTACCACATTGATTATATCTTGGCTAAAGCCAAGAAAATAAACTACATGCTGCAAAAATGTGCTAGATGCACCTGGGGACTAAATCACAAAGCTTATAAAACTCTGTATAATGGGGCAATACTACCAATGATACTTTATGCGGCTTCTAGCTGGGGTCATGTAACGAGTAAAGTTACAATTGCAAGTAAATTACTCTCTCTCCAAAGACAGTTTGCCATCAAAATTTCAAAGTGCTGCAGGACTGTTTCTACAAATGCCTCTCTGATTCTAGCAGAGCTCCTTCCTTTACCACTCTGTATTGAAGAAAAAGTTCTTCACTATTACACCAGAACCACAAACATCAAAGTTCAACAACGGTCTCTGCTCTTATCTACGGCTGTTCACATGCTTCCACACTGCAACTTCTCCACCAACTGTGATCATCACCCTGTAAGCAGGGTTATCCCCAGGGTGCACGTGGTGTCATCTGCTTCCACCCTGGATGTCCATGCTGACATTAACATCTACACAGATGGGTCCAAAGGCTCCCTTCATGTTGGCTCAAGTGTCTGCATTTATCTTCAAACTGATTTACTTTGCCCAAAATATGTTAAAAGGTACAGGTACCCCCCATACACCACCATCTATCAAGCTGAGGAAGATGCTGTCTACCGGGCTGTTCAGTGGGCCACCTCACTTCCTAACAAAACTCTTTCTTTCAACATCTTCAGTGACTCTCAGTCTGTCCTAAAGGCCCTCTTAAATCCCAACTGCAATAGCAACAAAATCACATATATCCAGCACCATATTGTAAATCATGTGAATAGGATAACTTTTATTTTTGTTCCTGGTCATACTGGCATTTTGGGAAATGAAAAAGCCGACCTTGAGGCTAAGTCAGCTGCAAAGGACACTGACTTGGACTATACTCTCATTCCTTTCTCACGCAGCAGCCTTAAAAATTATATCCGTGCCAATGCTATGCAGAAGTGGAACCAGCAATGGTTGAGCAGTAAGACGGGTAAAATAACCAGACTGTATTTTCCTAGTGTTGATAGCAGACTCTCTTCACCACTTAGATTTCTGACGTTTACTACTGCTCAACTTCTTACTGAGCATGGTAATTTTAGGAGCTACCTGGCGATGTATAACCGGGCAGAAACTGCCTTTTGCTTTTGTTCCACAGGAAACCTTGATACTGTTGACCATATGATCTACCATTGTCCTATTTATGATCAAGATAGACTTATAATGAAATTAGAAATCTTCATGCATGGTTTCAGGTGGCCATGTCCACTGGATAAACTTGTACAGAAGCCTCTGTTTGATACCTTTTACAGTTATATTCAAAATATATGGAAGAAAAGACTTTTCATAATTTCTAATTTCTAATATTACTTTTAGTCTTCACTAAAAGCAGAACTTTCTAATTTTATGTTTACTTTGAATCATTTATCTTGTTTTATGTATCNTTTTATATTTTTATAGTTGGACAAATAAAAATTATCAACAACAAAAATTCCTTCTTGCAAAAATATATACATTATAATCAAAATCAGTAAATCTTTTTTTCACTAAAAAAAAAAAAAAAAAAAAAGACCACCATAAATTAGGGAATGTATTTCTCTCCTTTTGTTGTTACTGCTATCAGGCACCTGTTCAGCTGGCCATCTTGTCCTACATGGTACTTTATGTTTGGATGTAGTGCTTCAATAATCCATATGCATCTGTACCTCATCTTGTTAACTCATTGTAAATAGCATTAATACTGTAAATACTACATTCCTTTTGTTACTTTATATTATTTTATCTATCTTATATTATATAATTGTACATTCCTTTTATTTTAATAGACAATGTTATTGTATATATTTCTTACCATGTAACCTCTGAAACTGTTCTGTACTTACTTCTGTACATGATTGTTGTAGCTTTATACTGCAAACGTATATGTACCTCCAACTGTAAGATCAATGCACTTGAAAGTTACTTTGTATATTTTATTTTTATCATCATCATTGTTGCTTTTATTTATATATATTTTGCTTGTTTCAATTTTATTAATATTTGAGGCAATTTAATTGTTTCAATTTTAGTTTACCACATAATGTTAATACAGAATATTACATACAAAAATGAGACACTATAAATATTGTTTATCTGTACATCTCCCCGGTTGTGCCTAAGCGGTACTGGGATTGTACAACTTTGTACCAATTAAAGGTTGAATGAATTAATGAATATGGTGGCCATTACATTTCTCAAACTCAACCCCTCTGGATGTTTTTCCTTAGGATGTTTTCCTAAGAGAATTGGTACACAATGCATACCTGGCAGTGACACATGATGTTGGAAAATCAGTGACATACATACAAGAAGCTGAAAAACAGTAATACCAAAAATGCAAAATGCCATCCATAACACCATACTCAACTATGTCTTTGTATTGTTACTAAAGTGGTTATTTTGAATGTGTTTTCTAATAAAATAAAGGTCACTTCTTTGTATAAATTTCTGCAATGTTATCTTTATCCTTTATAACCAGAGATTATTTATATTTTAAACTAAATCATCTTAAATTGATTCTCTTTGCTTATTTTAGTGCTGGTACACCACATACATTCATACACTCCTAAAATGCTGGAAAGATTTTTTTATCCCTGGACAGATGTTAAAGTGGAGATCCTATACATATTTTAACTGTTTCTTCCCTGCAAACATTAAGAAAGTTTTTCTGTATGCTTCATGAATATGGCCACAAACTGAACTGCTCATGAAAATAGATGATATTTGGACTCTGAATTAAATCCAAATACCTTTACATCACAATGGTCTCTTTATTTCCAAATAAAAGTTCTAAAAAAATGTACAGACAAATATTTTTGTAGAATAAACTTCTGATAGTATATTTTTCTAGCCCATACTTGTAAACACTAAATACTATGTAAAAAATTATGATTGTAGATAGAAAATACTGTTTTAAAAGCTTAATAAATTACACTTCTATTTTTGTTATTTTATTTTAATTCATTATTAATAATTATAATTTTTAATAAATATTAAATTAATTAATTCATACCCTCCTTGTATATAATCCAAGAAAGTTGGCTGATTGACTACTTCAATTCCCATTAAGTTAATCTAAACATAAATAATAAAATTTCTATTATCTAAAATTAGAGTAGAAATATTTAGAACTTAACTATGCAAAATGGCAGTGTCAAAACTAACCATTCCTGAATGTTTGTATCTTCGCTTTTTGGCTTTTTTTGTTTCATTGATGCACTAAATAAATTTATATCATAAAACATTAGTTTATATTCATTTTTGAAATAAGTTCATATATTTATAAAGTTTTATACATACCTCATATTCATTGTTTGGACCAGGACCCAATGCCAAAGTCCTTAAATTTGTTGCAAAGCTTCCAATGTAGTTGTGACTGAAAAATTTATCTCAATTTATTATATTAAATTATGTATATCTTATTTATATAAAGGTACATTGACCTTGCTTGTTCACTGATACAAAATATTTAAGTGGAAGCAAACTACTTACAGAAACACGAAATGATAGAATTTAGTGCACTGAGTATACTAATAGAAAAATCTAAAATGCACCACAGTGTGTCAAAATTCTAGTGTCTATGCAGTCAATTAATTTAAGCACTTGTTTACTTGTTCTGTAATAAATTAATAAATAAATGCCCACCAGTGGCCGAGTGGTCTCCGTTGCCGCTCATAGCGGTGGTGACTGGACCCTAAACACTGGGAAGTTCGGTCGTGGGTTCGTGCCGCGATCGGACAGGCTGGCTGCTTGGTTTTCTCCTTGCCAATAACGACTAAATAGGAGGCCAGTTCCCCATAAAAGTCCTCCCGGAAGGCATTCTTTCCCCGCGCGCGCGTGACACATCATTCAAGGAAGAAGGCAATGGCAAACCACTTCCTCAACTCTTGCCAAGTAAACTACATGGACAAGAAACAACTTGTCCATGCAGTCACCAGGAGTCGACGACGACTTGATGGAACTTAACAACAAAATAAATTAATATTGCTTACATAAAGAATTAGTATAAATCACAACACATGTATAGTGTGTGTTTGCAAAGTTAAATATCAAGTTGGACTGCTAAAGACATTCAGAGGATAAAACTTCTAATGTTGATATGTCTGTCAGATTTTAGTTTTTGCTTGTTTTTTCAAAAGCTAATCTTATTCATCATTATCAAACAAAAAATAAAAAGTTACTATTTGAATTTGTATGACATCATCAACAGACAGCATTATTACATATTAATTGGTAAGTAATTCTGTTTAAATTTGTACAGTATACTCTTATTAATCCAAGATAATTATATGAGACTGTTACAATTAGTAGGGATTACAATTAATTTACAATTTATTATATATATATACAAAGAAGAGCAAGTCAAAAAAGACTACAGACAAATTTGACATTTTTAAAAATTAATCTGTAGTTTCTTTGTTTTCGGCCTGAATGTTTAGCAGAAAATGTATAAAATTGGTTCAAGTTGGCAAATGTGCACCACATAAAGGTGTTATGAAAAATCATATTTGATATTCAATATAAGAGCAAAAACTATGTTCATTACTTCATCTTTTACTAAAGATTTGTTAAGCATATTCATTTGTATGATGTTATTAAATTAAAAAAAAAATCTTTTTGAATATGTTTGTAAAATCAAACTATTCATACAACAAGTAAAATTTTTGAATATTTTATATCTCCATTTGTTATGCATCACATTTAATAATGCTTTCTAAGTATGTGATTTTTAGCATATTGCAGAATCTCTGTCTACAGTATCATTAAAACAATATTAAAAAAAAATTGCATTATCATGTAACAAAACATTTATGATAAACCCCCATTTTATAAATCTAACAAGAATCCTAATACTAATTCTTCAATTACATTCAAAATAAAGTAAAATGCAACCTATTGTAATCAGGAATGTTGTGATCAGTCATCTGATATCATAACTATCATGTCTCAAACCATGTAAGCAAAAATATACTTACAAAACATTTATGATGAAGTTACCATCATCATTCTATTGATGATGATGGTAACTTCATCATTAAAGCACTGCTTCACACTATTGATAACTTAAATGTTAATTATTTGCCCACAGTAAACTAGTTTAAATTTCTGATCATTCTTACTTTAATTGTATGGTAGATGAATTATTAATTAATAAATCTTAAAGTAATAAACTTTTATTTGTTTTAACATGTGCTTATAATGTCAGATTTAATAAAACCAAAATTTAAAAAAATTCTAAACATATTTATTTATCTCAATTAATGTTATCATCAGTATAAACAAATTAATAGTTCATAGAACAGAGCTAATATAATATTTAATCTGAACAAATACAAGATTAAAAGATAATAAATATTTAACTAAGTTTTTCTTACTTTCCACTTTGATTCCAGTCGTAGCATTCTATTCTTAACATTCGGTCATAATCACCATTACACAGTGTAGAAACATGTATAGAGAATGGTTTCCAAACTGGGTTTAATGTTCTTTTGATAAATTCTGTTCTATGAACAACAGTGTAACTGAAAACAAAAACACATTTTTTTTTAAATTTTAGTTTAAAATTTATTTATAATATTAAAAATCCTCATAGCATAACTTAAATATTAAATACAAAATTTACTTTTATATAAAATGAAGATTATAAATCAAAAAAACATATTAGAATAACTTCTGACAGTATTTGTGTAAGCATTTTATAAGTCAACCAGTTGGCCAAAGCATTTAGTGTCACACAGTAGCCTGACACTTTAAATGCTTTGGGGATTAAATCAGAGCAGTCAAAAACCTCTCCAGGAATTTTTAATGATCTTTCCAAATATGTGAAGCCATTCTCTCGTAGACCCAATCAAATCTATAACTGGCTTTAAAAAAAAGACCATCCTAGTGTCTAGAGTGTAAAAAGTGTAAGGGGAAAAAAAATGCATCATATAAACTTTAATGCATGGAAACCAATCTGAATTTACTGATTTATCAATGTAGAACTGCAATATTTGCAAAGCAGAGTATAATGTTTCTAATATACAGTAAAAAAGCAACAAAAATTCTATTTTTCTATATAAATCATCAGAAATCGAATTAATTTCTAATTTTTCCCTTTTGCTCTACAGTTTTCTAACTCATAGTTTGTCCCTATCATCATTAGAAATTACAGTATACTCAAAATTATCCATGTGCAAATTATTTGTGCATGTCTCAATAAAAATTTACATCATGAATACAAATATTAGCATTAAAATAATAAAAAGTTCACATTGCAAATTCTTGCTATTTAAAATGACATGTTGAATGTCAGAACTACTTCCAGAACATCAAGGCATACATTAAATGGCCTAACAAGTACAGTAAGTGTGTTTGATCCTTCATCAATACAGCTTTACGTACATGTATATATATATATATATATATTTTTTTTTTCATTAAATAAAGTTGTAAAATTGTTTGAAGAAAATATCTTAAAAATGATTTATTGATAAGGAAATGATTTTTATCTGAAAATTAATGATGTTTTATGATGATATATAGCTGGCAACCTTTACTCTTGATTAATAATACCGTAAAACCTGTGTAAACCAAAATCACACCATACCAAGTACTTTTTTCTGGTTTGCAAGTTTCCATTTTACTCGAGTTCCAATTTGGACAGGCTTTACTGTACAAGACACTGATTGTTAACTGCATGGCTCCACATCAATAAATTTTTTTGAATTTTTTGTTACATTTCGGCAATGATAATTAACTAACTATTTTATTCATAATATATAAACAGTTATGTTAAATTTAATATGAAATTAAAAACTAAATAAAAGAAAACTCAATTAACTTTAATTAGAACAAACTTGCAGATCATCCATGTTTCAGCATTATCTGTACCTCCATTACCAAAGATTAGCCCAGATAATCAGGAGTATACTGTAATATAACTGTAATTAATATAACTGCATAATAATAAATGTCATATTAACTTATAACTGGAGTTAAAGGTAATGGAATGATTTTTTGATTTCCTTTCATACATCATAGTTTGATATTGTAATTCTTACATCCAGCTAATCTGCTCGTACATATGTCTACATATAACCTTAAGCAAAAAGCCTGAAAAACAATTACCTACTATCTTCATTGCATCTTTTAATAGTCAGAAAAGGATCCGATCGTCCAAAAAAGTCCTTTCTGTCAAGTTTTTTAGCACAAAATTGCATCGTTGCCACTTCCTTGCAAAATAACGTAAAGCAAACTATTTTATATAACTTATTGTAAATCAATTTATAAATAAAATACAAAAATAAATTCAAATCTTACTCTTGAACTTGTTACCTCTTCAGTTACAACTGTAAAAAAGAAAATACATAAATCTATAAAATTCAGCAAATATATTGAACTAAATTCTTAAATTATGAACATTAATCAGCACCCAAAGTCTTCAAATTTAAGTTTAGATCTGAATTTTCCGATGGTTTAGCTGTTTTTAATGTTGATTTAGTAAATGTCTCTTCAATTCGAAAAAATCTTTATGGTAGACTACCTCACAGCCATTTCAGGTTATAAACTCCTTTTATTGGTAAAAATATTGTAAATGGGACTAAAAGTACCATATAAGTGTGAAAAAAATTAGAAACGCATGGAAACTCTTAAAAGGTATTATAAAATGTGGTTTATTTTTGTTGTAACATCATCTACCCGAATTGTTTTTTTATCAATTTTTTAAAATTTAATTTATTTTGTAGCACTGAGGAGGAGCTAGTAAATTAACCTAGCTCGAAATGCATCTGTAAAAAGCAATAAAAGGAGTTTATAACCTGAATTGGCTGTGAGGTAGTCTACCGAAAAGATTTTTTCGGATNTTGCTGGCTGCTTGGAGACGAACGGATAGAAACCACAGTGTCAAACAAAGAATGAGTGAAACCTTTTCTGATGTTTCTATTTCCATAACGATAACCTCATTAACCAATTTTATATCATTCATTTTAGGAGTTATAACTCCTTATAGAAACATTCGTATCTTCAGTATATACAGCGCCATTTCCGTGTTATTCGACTATATTTATCAAATATTTTTCTTTGGTGCGGTGATGGCAATCGACGGATACAGAGAAAAGCATAATCTTCACTCTCTATTTTTATATCCTGTTCGAAAAGATACGGCAGGTAAAAGTTTAATTTTTTTTATTTAACTTATAAGTAATCTAGTTGAGGCCATCTGTTGACGTAAATGTAATTGTTAGTGACTATTTACATGTTTATTTCTAATAATTACGTAAATGTTTGATAGATTTTTCCTCTAAAAAGTTAATCAATAATACTTGTTATACTAAGAAGGCCTATCGAGTTTAATAAAAATCGGGTGATATTTCGTCGAGTTATCGTGTCTGGGCATCGATGATTTTGGAGTTATAAGTCTTCTCTTACAGCTCAGACTATGGAGTTTTGTACAAAATACATGAAGATATTTCACTCTATCCCGTAGTGCTTTAAAGCTGTAATTAAGGCTCGAGGTGCCCTTCGAATGTGTAATTTAACGAGAAATATTATTTAAGTGACAAATTTTTGCTCAGTGTTCATTAACAACATAGGTGAGAATAATATGAAATTACAATTAAATTCGACGTATTGTTATATCTAATAAATTGTGTGTTTTGGTTTATTCTCTTTCCTTTGTTTTCAATATGTATGTTATCATTACAAATCGAATAAATAGAATAAATATGCTACTTTGTATACCTGCTGTACGCTTTTTGGATTCGTATAAGGTAATGCAATTTCTATGTTGGCTAATGTAATTTCTGAAATATTCTATGAGAGTTTGTAATACAAATCTTCGTCACGAGCTGATCAAATATCTTGCGTAAAAATGGAAATACTGTAACTAGACACGTTCTCTGACGGTAAAAGAAAAATATTTCTTTGAAAATATTTTGTTTTACAAGTTATCCAATAAATAAAATTCGAAAAATAAAACGAAAAATTAAAATAAAACTAAAGAAAGAAAATCGATATTTACAAATTAATTTTTCATCCGAAAATTTATATTTTCGGTGTAAAATTTATTTTATTTTAAGAATATATTTATACCATACTGTCAAATACATATATTTTTCGACCACTTCAATTTCTTTATCCAAAAGCTATATACGTTTATTTGGTCGTCTATTTTTGTTTTGAGAGACCAGAATCTTGGTTTTTTTTTCTTTTTTAAATAATTTGAAAATCCATATGTATGAAATCTCTTAGCAAACCATTAATTTCCAATTGTAATTCTTATGGCTATCAGCCACCATCACCACGTCATCAGAACCTTAATATATGTGTTATTGCCTAGTCATAAACCATTAACTTTCGGCAATAAATTCATCCAATCTTGTTACTGAATCATCAATATATATAAAGAAAACAGTAATGTGCTCAATAGACACCATTGGAGAACTCCTTTGTTGGATTAAAAACTTTTCACGGACATTCCACTAAAGAACCTCAATGCAATCTTATTTGTACACGTTGAACTTAGTAAATTCGCCATTTTATAGCTCGGATTCATGTCGCATAACCTATTACATAATTTTATATGGTTCACCGAGTCAGATGCAATTCTGTAGTCCACAAAATATATGTATACTTTATTTTGTTTTTCCATTCTTTCTTTTAGCTAATTCCGCGAGAAAAATATATGATCCGCTGTAGTATACTTTTTACAAAAACCGGCTTGCATATCAAATAAGATTCTCTGTTTCTCAGTCCAGAATAAAAGCCTCTTACAAAGAACCACCGGAAAAAAAACACTTATTAATTAATTAATGAATTAATTAACAGTATTTAATAACGTTATCCCTCGATAATTGCTCCGGCTATTTAACTCTCTTGATATAAAAGCTGAAATTATTCGACCCATTTTTCAACTTTCCGAATATATTCCAGGTGTAATAACTAATAATTTATTTATCTCAATTATAACTAAACAGTAGCATTTTGAAATTTTGTTTTGATATTATTCGCAAAATACAATCCATCGTTATCTTTCAATTTACGAATATACTCCAAAAAGGTTTGGTTGACTTACAACTTGTAAACAGTCGATTAAAATTAATCAGATATTTTTTTTTGCTTTTAACAAACTTTTAAAAAGTTTTCATAACACTCTTTTAATTTCCACTCTTTATCCAATCGCTTTCATTTCCTCAGCTTATTTCTCATATCACTCTACTTTTCCGAACATAAATTATGAAACTACTCTGGTTCATGCCTGAATGAGCGTAATCTCTTTTTCTCTCAATCTCTCAGTTTCTCTATTATACCCAGCATCAACCTTGTTAGCACTTTCGTCTCTGTTATCTTGGAATCAAACTAATTATTCCAGCTTATATGCATTTCACTTACAAAAAACTCTACTCAATCCTTCATCCATCTTTTTCTGATCTTATCCGATTGTTTATGATAAACTTGTTTCAAATTCGTAGCAGTGGTTTCTAAGTACAGCGTGATATGATCGGATTCAGCACAGTCAGTTGTACTAGAATACTTTAAATTCTTTGCGGCTAAGCCGTTTATACACAAGTAATCAATCACTCGTACCCAATTCTGAAATAAAAGTATGTTTACCCTGCGCATACTTTTTGACTGTCCCATTTACAACTGCCGAACTTTTCAATTGACATACTAACTTCAATTCAATCTTGTTAATACATTTATCTTCAGAAATATAAATATAATAATCTATTAAGGGGCTAACACCATCTTATTGAAAGTCTCTATTCTTCCGTTTAAAACGTCCATCAAATATATTTCCTCTTCCTGATAACAACTATCATACAATATCTCCACTAACATGTATTGCTTAACATAAATATCAATTCTAACTTAATGTAAACAAAAATAAACGCTTTCTTTTTCCAACATACTTCAAATAACTAATTTTCAAAAAGGTTCAACCACACCGCCTTTAAGTTTTCTTTGGTTGCAAAAACGTATTCCTCTAGTTTCTTAATATACTTGTGAGCATTCTCGACAATCATTTGTATATATTCTTTAAAATATGCAACTTTTTGTTTTCTAGCCTGTGTTAAATTATTAATGTGTATCGTTCTGTTTTCCAAGGAAATATTTTCTGTTATAAGCACCTCCCGTCTCTAATCTGAGACATCAAATATACTATAAATATTTTTCTAACGTTTTAATATTTTTATCTTCTTAATTGAAGTCTTTAGACTATTTACAAAAAATTAAATTTTTCGAGTCTATCTTTTAAATCCGTTATACACCACCACAGAAGTAACAGTTTTAAAAAATTGCTTTTGAACAAAACTTCTAATGAAGAAAATACTTCTAAAACAGGTAAAAATTGGTAGAAAAAATCCACAAAGTTAAAAAAGATCAAGTGCCAGCCTTTTCTTTTAGATTCTGACACTTTTTACATTAAAACCATAATGAATTCTTCATACCATATTATTTTATCCACTTTTTAAACTGCTTCTGGCCCTCTAGTAGTAGGAGTAGTTATTTTCTACCAATTTTTACCTGTTTTAGAAGTGTTTTCTTCATTAGAAGTTTTCTTCAAAAGCAATTTTTTAAAACTGTTATTTCTGTAGTGGTGTATAACGGATTTAAAAGATAGACTCGAAAAATTTAATTTTTTGTAAATAGTCTAAAGACTTCAATTGAGAAGAAAAAAATATATCCTGAGTTATCATAAAAAAAAATTAATATTTTTAATATTTCTCCTTTTTCGTTGAATGAAACACAGGTAAANTGGTTGTTTCGTTATAATTTATCACGTGTTCTGTGGAAGTTCATCCAAGCCAATATACTGTTACTTCTGTGGTGTGTTAAAAGGATGAAAGATTATTTACAAAAATTTTTTTAATTTTTCAAGTCTGTCATAATTCAATTTTTAATTGAAAATATCCTGGGTTGTTCATGTTATCATGTATGCTGTTATGCAAATGAACTTTATGATTACCTAAAATCACCACCAGAGGACCTGAACCAGTTATATAGTGTGCTAAAGAACATGGTAGTTATGGTCAGAAATTGTAACCATTGTTTTAATGTTAAAGGACACTGAATCCTCAAATAAAAGGTCGGCGTTTTGATCATTTTTAACTTTGTGTGTTTTTCGTTATAATTTATCCTGTGTTCTGTGGAAGTTCATCCAAGCCAATATACTGTTAAAATATACTGTGGTGTGTTAAAAGGATGAAAGATAGACTCAAAAAATTAAAAAAATTTTTGTAAATAGTCATAATTCAATTTTTAATTGAAAATATCCTGGGTTGTTCATGTTATCATGTATGCTGTTATATAAATTAATCAAATGATACTACCAGATTTGTTAGACCATAACTTGGGTAACTAAATATGTAATTTACTGTATAATTAATGCACTATGCTGGGGTAAAAGCTTAAAGTTAGCTGAGTGCCAGGGAAGCACATAATAGGTGTGACAAGTGACAGTACAGTTGTATATATTAAGATGCAAAATTTGTCAAATATGTTGTAATTTTTAATGAATTTTATAATTTTTTATATCTTAAAATGAGGATACTTACATATTATTTTTCCACAACTCTTTCCTCCACTACTGAAACAAATTAAAACAACAAAAAGATAATAAAAAACATATGAATGTAACAAATAAACAATTTTCTACATAAATCAAATTAAGTTTCCTACTATAATTGTCTTTCTACTTGTGATCCATGTGATGAGACTATTTCTCCTAAAGAGACTTCCATCCTTCCCAAAAAATCCTGTAATGAATATATTTATAAAATATTTTCCATAAATTCTGTTAGAAGTATTTAAATGTTAAAAATATCACTAATTAAATTAGAATATGCCATAAAATATTACCTTAAAATAAATCAAAATTAATTTGTTTAATAGTATCTGATAATCAGACATTACAGAATTAATAGCGAAATTTGTTTGCTTTCTACAGGCATAAAATGATGTTAACAATTAAATGAGGTTGGTCAGGCTGATCTGATAGAATGTGCCACAAAAGTGAATCTAATACAGTAATACCTCGACTTATGCAAACCCAGAGTTACGTGATTTTCAAATCTCGTCGAGTCGTCTTTTGTTTGAGCGCCATGCAACTCTCGATTACTCAATCCCCCCACACTATTGTTCGGCTTACATTTTCAGACATGTCGCGCAAAATCGACACATAGCCACAATTTATTTTGTGTTATTTATTTCTGTGTTTGTTATATCTACGGAGACTTGAGAGACTCTATGTGGTGATTTCTTCTAACCGTGAACGAATCAAAAGACGAGATAAGATTAACGAGAACATTTATTAGTTTACATACATCCGACTTGGGTTTTACACAAATTGCGAAATTATACCCCGACTTACACAAATTCNAAAAAAAAATTAATATTTTTAATATTTCTCCTTTTTCGTTGAATGAAACACAGGTAAACAAAACCATTGCTTTCTTTGATTCTTCGTATGCTTCGTGTTTCACACAGTCAAGAATTGCATTTAATAAACGAGAGTTCTCTGATAAATTCTGAAATTGTCACTAATAATTTTTTCGTTCTTTTACCTATACATTAAGTAATTCTGACAAGGAGAGGGCCAGTCGTTCGGGTCTCCGATTCCAATGGAACTTGGTAATCACGTAGCCTAAACACAAACTGCTCCTTGTCCAAATAACAGCACATACTTTTCAAGAGTTTCCGAAAAATAGGGCCTGTGAAAATTGAGTGTTTTGCTTACAAAAGTTTGAAAGTTNATCAGTGAACGAATCAAAAGACGAGATAAGATTAACGAGAACATTTATTAGTTTACATACATCCGACTTGGGTTTTACACAAATTGCGAAATTATACCCCGACTTACACAAATTCAACTTACACGGTTATCACTTGGTCCCACCTATCGAGTAAGTTTGGGTATCACTGTATTAATTTTGTTTAAAATAAATTATATAAATTCTTGGAATCAAGTAGTAGTTCAGAAGAATTTTTCTACAATCCAACTGCCAATATCCAACTACAAATACAATCCAACTACAATACAATGCCATATGTTATCGGGCTAGAAATCGGCTATCATATAATTATTAAATTTATTAAGAGACGCCATGTCTAACATCTTCCTCTAGTGCCAAATTGTTTCATAATTTATTAGTATGATAGCTGATTTCTAGCCCAATAACATACGGCAGGCATTAGTTGGATTGTAGTTTATAATGTATCGGGTTGTAATGTTGTTGTTTGAAGAATTTTTCACTGAATATACAGTAAGGGATGTGATTTATAGATTCCAGAGGAACTGTGTAGTTTTTACTATAATTTAGTGATCGTAAATGAAAACATTCAGTTCCCTTTTGTATATGTGCGTGGACATGCATAATGAATGGACTGAACGGAACATACCACTTAGATAATGAAAGTGAAGTCATTACCTAATCCAATTGAATGGAGCATGCACAAGCACATCTGACAGACACACAAGTCCTAACAGTTGTTATTTTTAGGCGGGATAGAATTAAATCCCGGTCCTGTTGATCGTACTCTGCCGCAATCTCAGATTCAATCATCGGCATCCACAGCAAAACGACATCGATCTCCGAGTGAACCTTCATTGAAAATGGCGAGATTGGAAGATTTCTTCCCTTCAAGGTTAGAGTCAAGTAAGTCTATTCCTAGGGAGGTTATTTCATATTTGGAAGACCAATTTGATAAGCTTTTTTTCGACGTTAAATGAGGTTGTTACGAAGATAGATTGGTTGGTTAATTTACATAATGATCATGATCGGCGTTTAACTCAGAAGTCAAACTAGGAGAGTTTTCTAAATTAAAAGACGACTTGCAACAGGAAAACAGTTTGATTTTACATTCTTTGGACAAGGTGTTGAATGAAATGAGAAAGAAAAATATCTTAATTAAAGGTTTGACTGATGATGATTCTGATTTGAATAGGAAGGTGCAAAACCTATTTTATACGTTGACAGGTGAATCAAGACCTATTACAATGGTTAAGGTAGTGAAATTTAATCGATCAGATACGGTATTGGTGGAGTTGCAATCATTTGCAGACAAGAAATTGATTTTTGCTAATCTTGGAAAGAAAAAAGATAACGAGGCATTAAAAAATATACAAATTTTTGATGATTTATGCTGGCGCTCAAGATTGAGACGGAGAAAGCTTTTGCCATTTCTACATGCTTATAGGTTGGAAGGCAGGCGAATTCGATTGTTGGCTGATGTTTTACAGGTTGCCTCTGAGAGATTTACCTATGATTTGGCTAGAGGAGAATTACTGAAACTCAATTTTTTAGTGGAAAACCATGTGGTAGATTCTCAAATTGTTCCCTCTCCGATTCAAGGAAGTGTACAGTTGGATTAAAGATTTCAGCATGGAACTCCCAGGGTGCCTTTCTGACTATTCTGAATGACAGTGGTTTTGTTGAACATATTTCTAGAACTGATATTTTGGGATTGACCGAGACCTTGTCTACAGTTTCTTTATGTTCGAGAGTTAAAAGTACTAACTGTAAATTTAAAGTTTTTGAGGTATTGGCCACAAAAAATGTGGGGAGAGGTAGACCTTCGGGGGGCTTACTTTTGGGTATAAATGGTGACTTGGGAGAAGTCAACTTGCTTCTGTCCGGACAACATATGATGGTCGTTAAAGTGAGATTTAATCGGAGGCAAAGTGGGAGATTGCGTGAAATGATAATTATTTTGGTCTATCTTCATATACCTATTTTTGAACAATTAATTGCAAGATTGGATGATTTAATTTCTGATTATACATCAGATTATGATTTTCTGATGATGGGTGATTTTAATGCACGAATTGGCTTGACTATGGATACTATTTGTGGTGGTGATGTGATTTCGAATATTTGACTATCAAATGACAAAATTTGTAATAAAAGAGGGAATTTGCTTATTGAACTGGTGAAATCCTATAATTTATACATAATAAATGGTCGTTATCCTTTTGATTCACCAGCGGACTTCACTTATACATCTGGATTGGGTGCTTCAGTAATCGATTTGGTGATATTGAGTGAAAGTTTGCTGGGGAGTCTATGTAATTTTGTTTTTTCGGATGATTACACGTCCGATCATCATATGGTGAATTTTGAAATATTAATTGATACTGACGAGGATAGAAAACTTAATCTGATTGATAGGAAAAAACGATTAACTTGGATAGAGGATAGATCCAATTTATATTCTGAAACAGTTTCGGTGGGATATGCAAATGTCGTCTTAAGTGACGGAATGGAGGATAGGTATTCCGAAATTTTGGATTTGATTAAGACATCAGCTTAACAATGTAGAATGTTGTCATACTTAGGAATGACGAAAATACCGTCTTCAGTTTGGTTCGATAGTGATTGTAGAACAGCGAAGAGACTGAAGAATAAGATGTTGATGAGGTTCCGGACATCTCGTAGTAAAGATGATTTGAGGGATTATTGTGGTTATAGGGCTGCCTTTCGATCATTGTGTAGGATAAAGAAGAAGAATTATTGGTCAAATATTAGTAGACAGCTGCAAAATACATGATCTTCTAGACAGTTTTGGTCTATTGTCAACAGATTTAGAATGAAAAAAAAACTTGATAGTCAAATTTCTCTTCAAGACTGGGAACGTTTTTTGGAGCATGATTTTTGTCATCCAATTTCTGATTCAATTCTTGAGTTTGGTCATGGAAACGTTTCTCTTATTTTGGACGCTCCAATCTCATTATCAGAGTTAAAAACTTCAATCAGTAAACTTAAAAGGAAATCAGCTCCTGGCATGGACGGTATAAATAATGAATTTATTATAAACTTACCTGATGAGGTGTGTTTAGAAGTACTCAGATTATTTAATAAGATTAAGGAAACAATGAAATTTCCTGAGCATTGGAGAAATGTGTTGTTGAAAATGATTTACAAGAAAGGAGATAAATTAAAGCCTCAGAATTATCGTCCAATTGCGTTGCTAAACACTTTTAGAAAGCTGTTTACTGGAATTTTGGCAGATCGGTTGAGTCAATGGTTAATTGAATTCAATATTATTTCTCAGTTTCAGGGAGCATTTGTTCAAGGAAGAGGAACTATGTATAATGTCTTTATACTTAACGGGTTAATACAGTATGTTCTGTCAAGGAAGACGTAAAATTTATTCGATATTTGTGGACCTGGAAAAGGCATTTGATAAAATCAATCTTAATATTTTGTGGGGAAAGTTATATTCATTAGGACTTTCAACTTCGTTTATTAAGCTACTTAAAAACTTATTTTGTAATACAAGGTATTATGTGAGCGGCAACTCGACAGCTACTAAGGGTGTTATTTCTGGTGGAGGCTTGCCACAGGGTGAGCCTTTAAGTCCTCTGTTGTTTATATTATTTATTAACGATTTACCACAATTGTTTGCTACTTCAGAAATTTCGGGTTTAGCACTTGGAGATTCTGTTGACCTGCATTGTCTAATGTATGCAGATGATGTAATTTTGTTGGCTGATTCAAAGACGGGTTTACAGCGAAAACTTTCTTTGCTGGTTAATTATGCAGAAAGAAATGACTTCACAGTTAACTTACAAAAAACGAAGGGAATGGTTTTTCGCAATGGAGGTAGATTACTGAAATCTGATAAGATATTTGTGAATAATACTGAAATTGAATTTGTTACATATATTAAATACTTAGGAATACATTTTTCTTCTTCAGGTGCATTTAGTCATCATTTTAACTTGATGGTCGAAGATATACAGAAAAAGACAGGCTAC